CACCCTGTATTTCGGAAGCCACGCATTTTTCGACCCATGTTTATATAGACTTTATGCGTTAATTTTAAAAGTTCTATCGAATCTTAAAGTTATGCAACAATAAACTGAAACACCCTGTATATTAATTATTGAATCACAAAAACGAAAAACTGAAACAAATAACAGTAGCAAAATAAAAGGCGATTCCTAATAAGTATAAATCAAAAAATAACAGTAATAAGCTAAAAGTGATAAATTACAAATAATTATAAAAATCAAAAAATAAAAACAGTAGTAAAACAAAAACTAATTCCATGTAATTATAAAAATCAAAAAATAACAAACAGCAGTAAAATAAAAAGTAATTCTAAGTGATTATAAAAGACAAAAAATAAAAACAGTGTTAAAACAAAAAAAAACAATTCCATGTTGAATAAAAAGCAATTCTAAGTGACAACACAAAACAAAAAGTAAAAATAGAAGTAAAACGAAGAACAATTTCATTCCATCCAAACTGCTTTTTATTTTAGATACTGTTTGTGATTTTTTGTTTTTTATAATAGCTGAACCCTAGTAAATGGCTTGAAAATCGCTACGTCGGAGACGCCTTAAGTATGACATAATTGTTAATCATTCCAAAACTACTTGTAGAAGTAGAAGTTCATGCTATTTTGATGTTCTAAGAGCTTTGATTACCAAAATTCTTATTTAAGTCGCGCCACCATAACCGTTCGGCTGTATTGATTAGCCACCTGTTGCGTTTCCGAATTGATACTTTATTCAGCGCGAGCACTGTATCATTTGCGTATAAGCACCTCTCATCTCACCCAGAGTGGAAAGTCATTCATGTTCTTTGTAGCGAATGGAAAATAAGTTTTAAATGATGTGACGTAACCTTTGAATCATTGTACTCGTACTTGGTCTGGTCGGTTAGTTGACTAGCGTTTACTGAGGTAGCCGAAACATCAGTAATCTGATCTTTGCGGTCAGGTCAGTTGAGACTTATCACTAATCTGTGTATACAGGGTAGGGTGTTTCAAGTATCGGAAACTGTAAGAGATACGAAAACGCTCAAACGTGGGCAAAGTTGCGTATTCAGATAATAAACAAGATGCTGCTTAGAGACTTTTGAGAGTCAAAGTACTTCCGGAGAGTGACGGAAAAAAAACAATATACAAGGTGGCCCATCCATGCGTGGACGGAATATTACTCATAAACAAAAACATTTTTAGAAAATATATTTGTGGAATGTTCTACATGACATAAGAGGGCACATTTCTAAAATATTGGCCAGTATACAGGGTTCCCCAATTTCGAACTACATATCTATTTTTCAAATAGAATGCCTCAAATTTTAGTGCATATTTGGATAAACAAAATTGATATAACATACTATGGGATTTTGGTAATTATCTACTGAGGTATAAGGTGATCTGTCTAGAAAAACCCCCCACTTCGGCAACCGCTCAGTCCGCCATTTTGAAATTTGGAGTACTTCGTGTTTTATCAAAAAAAACTTACACTTATCTTATAAAAATTAAATCGAAACTTGCAGAATCAAACAGGGTGATGGATTTGAATTTTTTGAAAAAAAGTACAATTCGCCTTTTTGACCACCCTGTATGAGCAAAAATGAAAATTCGAAAAATTAACAAATAAGATGCAAGCTGAGGTGTGTAAGTTTTTTTTTGATACAAAATTCAGCACTCCAAATTTCAAAATGTTATATCAATCATCTTCTTTTGAATTAGTTTATCCATTCCTTTTAAAAAATCACAGCTTTGATATGTAGATCAAAATTGGGACACCCTGTACAATCGCCAATATTTTAGAAATGTGCCCTCAAATGTTATGTATAACATGTCATAAATAAATTTTGAAAAAATGTATTTGTTCATGAGTAATATTCCGTCCACACATGAATGGGCCACACTGTAGATATTTTTATGAAATTTGACATGCAACTACTAGGCACAAATAATATTCCTACCAGTGAAGTCCGTACGGGATATATTCTAGAAATTTTTCCAAAAAAATATTGTATGCCATTGCTTTTCCGAAAATAAATCCTCATTTATTTTGCATCAAATTTGACCTCTTGACTTTTTCTCGTCCGATGCACCGTTTTCGCGTAAAATAGAAAATCATTTTGGTTATTTTAATTAATTGACTTTAATTGAATAAATATTAAACAAAAACAAATCTTAAATACAAACTACTACATGAGGTTTTAGCGATTTTGCACTGCATGAAAATTAAAAAACAAATTTGCAACAAGTTTCGACAATTTCTGAGGATCAAATAATCTAATACTATTTAATTTAGTTAGCGCAATAATTGTTGAAAATGTCCTCCTTCTGCTAGAATACAGGTACAAGTATTTCTTATGGTTCGGCAAGAAAGTAAAATTTTCTGCCTTAGTTCCTCTACAGTTTGAACCGGTGTAGTACAAAGTCTTGAGGTGTCCCCCACAAAAAATAGTCTAAACTATTTAAATCAAGGGACCTGGGAGGTCAAGATTGAGTTCTACCATGTCCTTTTGAAATAAAGCAATGGCGTATCATATTTTTTTTTAAAATATCTCCAGTATACCCCGTACGGACGCCATTGGTGGAAATATTAAAAAAAGCCTATTTATGCTTAGTAGGTGCATGTATACTTTATCTGAAGTCACTTGAAACACTGTGAAATACCGGGTGCGTTTTATATATCTATATTTAACACGCTCTGTTGCTGCAAAAATCGTATAAGATCAAAGGCAGTTTCACCGGTCCACGTGGAGTAAAGCACGCCTATGCGTGGACATAGTCAATGAGAAAGCGTGTATTTCAGAGCTCCGAACAAGTGCAGGTGGCTACTGAAAATTGAAACAGTTTAGCCAGTGCCGTGTAGCGGTGAATAAACGTGTTTAATTTAGTCTGTCCGAGTTTTCTCATAGATTTTAGTAGTTTGTGTGTTTTTGACTTTTGAATACTCTGTTTACTTGTTGATTTAATTGTTGTGTTGATTGTTCTTGTGTTTCCTAAATATGGCTCTTTGGAGACCTTGGGAAAATGCTCCAAGCCACGAGGAGATGGTTGATGAAACTGTGCAGGCAGAATTCTTTCATAAAGATTTAGAGGAACAGACCCAAAGAGTAATCCTAAATATGTATGATTGTCTGAAAAACGAAAATCCAGATTCCTCGCAAAATCAAATTTTAAACAGAATTTGTATCCCGACAAAAATCAGTCGGTCTACCATTTATCGGGTTATAAAAAGGGGAGATGTAGTCAACCATTCCTTCCACAGAAAGCGCATAGGGCAAAAATTAAAAAGAATAGACGTGGGTTTTCAGGAAGATATTCGTCGTATCATATACGGATTTTATAAAGAAAATTTGGTGCCCACGTTGGAAATGATACGGGATAAATTAAAAGATTATCCTGAAGATTTTTATAATTACAAATGCTTAGGCTCACTGCACAGTATTATAAAACTGTGTGGTTTTCAATACAAAAAATTAGATAAAAGAATGGTGATTATGGAGTCGTCTCGAATCGTTGAATTGCGCCAAGAATTTTTGCACAAAGTTAAAATCTATAGACAGCAGAAAGGAAATCTGATTTACCTGGATGAAACGTGGTATGATACCCATGATGTTGTGCAGTACGGCTGGGTTGACGACAGCAACAAGTGCATTTTAAATGCACCATGCAACCGTGGAAAACGAATCATTATTCTCCATGCTGGCAGTGAAAATGGATTTATACCTAATGCCTTGCTGTTATCTGCCAAAAATATCAAAGAATCATGTGCCGACTATCATGAGGACATGACCTCTGACTTATTTGAAAAGTGGATAGAGCAGCAGTTAATACCAAACATTTCCTCGTGATTATTATGGACAATGCGCCATACCATTCCCGACAGAAAAACAAAATTCCGAATACAGGCACAAAAAAACAAGACATTATTGATTTTATGAAGGATAAGGGAATGGAAATACCACAAAAATCAACCAAAGCCATATTATTGGACCTTATTAAAAGACAAAAATTTGAAAAAGAGTATGTTGTTGACAATCTGCTTCAGCAAAATGGCCATGAAGTATTACGTCTACCTGCCTATTACTGCATTTTTAACCCGATTGAGTTGGTCTGGGCTGCTTTAAAAAAAAAAGTAAGAAAACATAATCAGACCCCTCAATTAAGTGAATCGCTATTGGCCACAATAAGAGATGCAGTGTCTCATATTGCTGCCACAGACCTATGGAAGCAGTGTTCTAGGCATATTATTGAAAAAGAAAATGAATATTGTGTTTTGTCTCCTGTAAATCCCGTTGTAATTGCTCTACAAGATGACTCTAGCGACAGCTCCGAAGGCGAGGATGATATATAAATACCTATAATGTAAGTCTTTATATACCTTTTTATATACCTACCTGCTATGTAAATATTTGCCTATGTCAAACGTTGGAATTCTCTAATTTTTCCATTTCTTAACTTTCAGTCAACATAAATTAAGCTCCCAATATAAGTATTTTTTATCCCAAATCAAAAAAATAAGAAGATAGTAAAATCCATTTATTGTGATATAAAAACATTATTATTATCGTTCTAAATAAATGACCGCACGCCTATGATACGTCATGAAATTACAAAGGACGCGCCGACCAAAGGTCTTTATGCTATTTCAAGTGACTTCAGATAAAGTATACAATTTCAGGAAAATATCTAGAACAGTAAAGTTATGATACGAAAACGATTTTTGTCTTAACATTTTAATACCCTGTAGCTAACAGGTTTAGGACATATACTTTTCTTCCTAAAATGACCTAACGAATCATATCCTGTATTTTCAGCCATCAATTAAATCACACCCTGTTTAGAGCTAATGTTGATTTAGTTAAAAGGTCAACGCGTCAAGACATAGTACGTTAGATACGCAAAATATATCTAAACACTGCTTTACCAAATTTTCCCTTGACTATATTTGGAGGGATTATACTGCAACTAAATAATGACAAGAACATCACTCACCATCGAAAATATCCCGGAAACCAACCACACAATAAGCGACACGTTAACGCTGCCTGTATGCCGGAGTACCCCGGAGGGTGTGACGAAGATCCCGCTGCCGATTATGCTGCCCACGATGACTGTGATGCCGTTGGCCAAGGTCATCTTCGGCTTCAGGGTGATCTCCTCCTCCTCTTTGATGGGCTGCTGGTCGCCCTCCATGGTGAAGGCTGGAGTCTGCTGGTGCTTCGGGTGGAATCGCGGCGTGCTCTGAAAGACCACGCGGTCTGCTAGGTCGCGAAGTAGACGGCGGTGCGGCGACGCGGACGAAGGGCGCTTCGCAGAAACGCGACGCCGGTGTTGCCGGGTCTTTGCGGCAATGCGCGAGGGTGAGATTCGGGGCGGATTGAAAGTAAAAGCTTCCCCGAAGCAATGCCACCTAAACTGGGAAACCGACATCCACAGGGATTGCAAAAATAGATAATAATAATAGTATTTATTCACTCAATGTACAAAGATAACAAACAATATGAGTAAATAAATATAAAATCAAAACAGGCCCAATAGAAGGCATCGTCTGTACATGGACCAATAAATTTAAGTTGAAACTGTAGAATGTAAATAACAAAAAAGGACAAAAATTAGCTACAGTAGATTATGTATTTAGTTGATGTTCGTATTTATGAGTTTATGAATTTCAGTCCTAGATATAGAATGTAGCCACTTTTTTAAATTTCTTTTGAAACAATTTCCGAAACGTAAATCTTTTAAGTCTTTAGGTATAATTTCATAAAATTTAGGCGCTAAATAGAGATATGATCGCTGCATTATAGATTTATGCGGTTGAGGAACTACTGTGCCACGAATTTTGTACCTGGTATAATGATTATGTTTAATTTTTTGGTCGGTGTTTACAAATTTATGGTAGTGAGTGATACTGTGTAAGAAATAAAGCTGTCTTATATCATACATTCGAACATCTGCGTATAATTTTTCAGTGGGATAAAGTTTCGGTTTTTTAAATATCATTTTTAGAATACTTTTTTGAAAAACTTCTAAATTATAGATATGTGAGGAACATGCAGCTCCCCATGCTAATATACCATATGTAAGATGAGGCTCAATCAGTGCATGGTATAATGTTCGAAGATATTTTTCTGTCAATATATTCCCAAGGTATTTAATTTTGTAGGATACAAATCTAACTTTCTTTAAAATATAATTGACATGGATGTCCCATCGTAAGTGAGGATCCAAGACCACTCCAAGGTATTTTATGTTGGGCACTCTATTAATTTGCATTTTTTGATAATTAATATTGAAGGAGAAATTTGTGTAATTTGGCAGATGTCTAGCATAAGATCCAAATGGTAAAAAATGTGTTTTAGAGTAGTTAATGCTTAATTTTCTACTGTTAAACCACCGAATAATTTTGATAAAATCATTTTCAATTACATTTTTCAGATCAGACCAGTCAGTGCCTTCATATAATATTGCAGTATCATCTGCAAAACTAGTTATTTTGCCAACACAATTAATTTGGAAAATATCATTTAAATATATATTGAATAACAGCGGACCTAAGACAGTTCCCTGTGGGACAACACACTTAATATACATTTCTTTACTAAATGATCCTGATATCTGCACAGATTGTGGGCGATTTGACAAATAACTTTCGATCAGTGAGTACGCGTTTCCTCTGAAACCAATTCTCTCCAATGCTTCTAATAATAATTTGTGATTAACTGTGTCGAAAGCTTTCTTTAAATCAACAAAAATGCAGATTGAAGGGGTTCTGTTATCAATATTTTCATGTATTTGATTTACAATTTTAGTTATTGCGTCCGATGTAGCCTTCCCTTCTGTAAATCCTTATTGATTTTCACTTAAAATTTTGAATTTTGTGAGGTATCGAATCATTCTAGTAGATAAAACTTTTTCAAAAACCTTTGCTACACTGGATATTATTGATATTGGTCTATAGTTGTTAACATCTGTTTTTGTTCCTGATTTATGTATCGGTATTATATTACCTTTTTTTAAAATTGAGGGATATATGCCAGATTCAAAGCATTTGTTGATTAGGTAAGTGAGTGGTTCTGTTATGTCCTCGGCTATAATTTTCAAATGCTCGCTTTTAATACCATCGAACCCAGGACTTTTCCGATTTTTTAAGGACATAACAGTGGTGTATACTTCACATTGCTCGACTTTATCCAAAATAAATGAGTTCAAAGTTCTGTTTGGAGGCTGAGTATTTTGTACATTTGCTTGTATATTACTTGCTAAATTTTCGCCTATGTCAGTAAAGAATTGTACAAATTCATCGCATATCTGTTGAGTATTTTTTAATACTGTTCCCGAAGTTGTATTTAACTCAGTGACACACTCTTTAACTTTTGTTTTCCCAGTTATCTCATCAATAGTTGTCCAAAGCCGCTTAGGATCATTTAAGCTATTATTCAATTTATTTAGGTAATGTTTTCGTTTGGTTTGCCTTACAAGCTCTATAAATTTATTTTTATATTGGTTGTAGCAGTCGGTATTCTCTGTAGTTGGCGTTAGTTTCATTACATTATATAGTCTTTCTTTTTCTATTGCCGATGTTATTAATCCTTTTAATCCATTTCTGCTTTTCTCTTTGTGACTAATTATTACTTTATTGGTACTAATATCTATTAGTTTTTTTATTTTCTCTATGAACAGTCCCGTTGCTTTGTCTATATTATTTATAGAGTATAATTGTTCCCAGGATTCTTGTGTGACATTTGATATTAGTTTTGAATTGTCGACAAAAAATTTGTAATTTTCCTGCTTGTTATTAACGGTAGGGATGTTAGAATGTTTTTTATTTGAAGATATCAGTAAAATAGTGGAGAAGTGGTCAGTAATATCGCTTTCTAGGATTATTGGTATACAAGTAATTTTGTTGGATAGGTCTTTCACAAAGCAGTGATCTATACATGTGCCACTGATGGACCTTGTAGGTAGGTTTATATAGGACAGAAATCCGTTACTTGATAGGATATTCAAGTATTCATTTGTGATGGGATCATCGTCCAAAATATTTATATTGACATCTCCCAAGAAAATATGTTGCTTTAAATGAACTTTATTTTGATTTTGAAAAAAAAAAAATCGATATTCTTTAAAAACTCGTGGGGTTCCGAACATGGCGGACGATAAATTGCAGATACCTCAATTTTGTTATGGTTAATTTGGATCATTATGTTTAAAATTTTGATTCCATCGGTGAAAGTGAATGTATCATGATTATATTGCAGTTTATTTCTTACAAAAACTATCACCCCATCGTTTTGGTTATAAATAGTCTAAAACATTGTGCCCAAAAGAGAGATTGTAGAGGTCCGTATTTTCCTCAATGGTATTAGAATAATCTAACAAAATAAACGATTATTTTTATAGAGAGAACTACACATACTTTTCGCAATTATTTATTCGCTGGAAGTACTTGAATCATCGTCCGAATTGTTAATATTAATTATTACAGGTTCAATTTGGATATCGATCATATTGTCCAGATCCCGCATTTATGTTTCGACTGTCTCTTGAACGGGTCGGATGCGATCTTTTCCAATGATTATTATATATATTATTTTGTGCTTGTTAAAATTAAAGAATCTTGTGCCAAAACTTTAAGGATATACGTTAGTCACTCATGTGACTTCCATTTATCGACCTTGAGCACTTTACAACAATTTTGTGGAAGTGGTATAGCCTATAATTATTGATAAGGTTAATACTTCGATATCTCTTTTAATTTGCAAATGCAGGGTGAGCGATATTATCAACTATTACTGATAAATATCCTGATATACTGATATCTTTTAAACTGGTACCGTCATGTTCATAGTCTTAAGTTAACAAAATAATCTTTAGTTAACGTGTTTTATAAGTCACAGAAAATTTTTAAATTGTCTTGTAAAGCCCATTGAAACTAAAATAGTTGGTTGTGCACGGGCAGATTTTTTTTGATATAGTTTTGATAATAAATTTTGCTTAGAGCAGGATTTTATACAAGCACATTGAAAGTATGGAAGGTAAAGAGGAGTAGCACTTATATAATCAAGTTTTTTCCACGAACTACAAAAATGTGGATAAAATAAAGATTTTATCAAAACAATGAGTTTATTTTATAAAAATACATACGGTACACGTATGGCAAACAATTATAAATTTTACATGATAGGTAGGTAGCTTATATTTATTTGAAAAGTTTGTGTTTTTGAGTTTTCATTTTCTTTATATCTAGTACTATAAGCATGGCTAGTTTTATTGAAGTTGTTTCTGTGTTTGTATATGAATTGAATTAATTCATGCAGAAACAGTTGCCTTAGGTCAAACACTCCGGTCTCTGAAAATAATTTATCAGAAGGATAAGTAATTTTTTTGCCAGATATTACTTTCAACATTCTTTTTTGCAGTATGTCCAGAGGCCGCAAATGACAATATGCGGTACTTCCCCGACTCAAAATAGCGTATCGCAGACGTGATTTTAACTAATGAATAATACAACATTTTCAGGTACATATAGTATATGAGATGTTTTAAGTATTTAAAGCGATATAAGAGTTGTCGTAAGGTATTTGTAATGTAAGCTATATGAACATCACATCTCAATGGTGACACGTATTTATAGGTTTTTACAGATGTTGAAGATATACTTTGATTTATTAAAAGTTGTTCATACTGAAGTAGACAACGTACTGCATAAAGAATGTTTTTTCATAGCTCACGGTTAAAAGTTTATGAGCAAAATAATAAAAAATAGTTCCTAGATCCAGCTCTGCTTTAATTTTTACATTTTCCCAAGTGTTATCACCATACATGAGTACCGTATCATCTGCAAAGCTAAACACTTGACCAACTGATGAAAAAGTTAGAATGATGTTTATATAAATTGTAAACAAGATTGGACCCAACACAGTACCCTGAGGTAAACCGTAATCAACTGTCTTTCCATTACTGAATGTGTCACTAATCTTTACTACTTGTTTTCGATTTGAGAGATAGCTTGTGAACAACTGCAAAGGTCCGCCTCGTACTCCTGCATCCTCCAAGGTCTCCAACATCTGCTGGTGATTCACAGTGTCGAAGGCGTTGGCAACATCCAAGAATACGCACACTACCGGTGTACTCAATTCTAATCTTTTTCTAATCTCTTCTGTTAACTTAGCAATTGCATCTTTGGTTGATATTCCCTCTCGAAAACTGAATTGCTTATCTGAAAGATATTTACATTTGACCAAAAACTTAACTAGCCTATTT